GACTTCGTTGAAGACCCTGAGCTGAAGCCAGATTTCTTGGCAGGCCACCAACTGAGCGACACCTACGATTCGCCTACTGATAATTTTCACCAAGTTTGCTGTGGGAAGGACCCGAGACGGCCGTGCTTTTCATTAGCCTCAAATTCCAGTGCCCTGTCAGCTTGGCATGCGGCAAGCGTGTCGGAGAGTAGAAGCCAAGGCGCCTCCATCAAGACTACTTGAAGGGCAAAGTGCAAAGCTTAGGCCTGCGGCCATGGATGCGAGCGGAAGTCGGAGCTATGGAGCAACAGCAAAGTGCACAGCAGAGCAGGCGACTTTCGCAACCGCGTTCTGCTCTGCAAAGTTGATCTGGAGCAGCCGGAGGAGACGCTGGAGCAGGCTCTCGGCTCTCGAGAGATCCAAACGCCACTCAGAGATGGCCGGCCAGCCCTTCCAAGGTGACGCTCGCAGCTTTTCATGGAAAGCTTTCCCTGCTGCTGGCTTGGAGTGATGCAGAGGTGCTTACAGCATCTCGAGCGTGAAACCTTGGTGAAGCTGCAACCTGCTGTAGGCCGCAGCTTACCTTGAGACGCTGTATCGGTGTCAAAGCAAGGGGGCTGAGGAGCTGCGACATACAGTTAAAGCCTCCCAACAGCAGTTACCATATCTGTGTGCATGATGCAGGCACTGAAGCGTCGGGTGACGCAGGGAGACAGCAGGGCGCGGCTTCAGGAGGTCCTGACCACGATCAAGGCTCTTCCAAAGAACCAATAATATCCCACAGTTGTCCCCCCTGTGCATGGTTGTCCCGTAGATGATTTTACTGCTGTCGGTGTTGGTATTCTCTCGGATCTGCAGGGCATCAACAAATCGGACGCTGCCTCCTTGGCATCCCGCTTTGGGCACCTCGGCTCGGCTGCCACATCGCTTGCAGGCTATGCAAATGTCCCTGCAGGTCCTTTGCGCAGATCGCACGCTCGACGGAGAAGGACAGGCTCCGGGCTTGGAGATGTTGGAGATGCGCTCAAAGCTTTCCCCAATCGCAAGGAGTTCCTACACTGCCACGGCATCGGTGATAAGAAGGCCTTTGCCGGTATGGGACCAGGAAGGGAGAGGTCTCTAGAAGCAATGGACAGGTGAAGCAACTCACGGCCGTGCTGCACAAGCCTTTCTTTCCAAATGAGCAGAGCCATGACCACGGAGAGCAAGGGTTCTGAAAGTAGTGGCCTTGGAACACAAGGGCTGTAGCTGGCCGCGTCACAAGCGCATGCTACGGTGTTTACAGCGTGCCGCACAAGACGACGCGTGAGAGTTCGAAAAACAGATCGCCATGCCATGTGAGCTAGTTCCTTCCTCGTGCTGGTGAATGGCAGCAGTCATTGCATGTCACATGTGACGTGAAGTCCTGACTGCGGCGGTCGGCTTATGCTAGCATCACAGATGGACATAACTTGGTAGAACAAGCCCAAAGGAATGGCGTAGAATGTTTGTTGGTCAGGATGACGCGCCTTGGTCAAGAGACAAGATTTATCTCAGACCTTCACATGTTGCGTGCTCGTCTAGTACATCAGAACAGGTTGTATTCACAGCATGAGCGTACCGGCATCAGCCGCCACCCTGCTGTCTGAGGCACTCGGTTGTCCAAAGCGAGCATCGCACCGAGAAGTCTGAGCAAATGCCGTTGCCATTTGCTCAGCCTCGACTCGAGGCGCACAGTCCACCAATCCATGCATGCAGACGAGATCATCTTCGAAGCCAAGGGAAGGGGTGCATTAGCTGCATTAGCACGGTGATGTGCCATCGAAACTGCGACTGAATGCAGAGGAGGTCCGTCGGAACTGGCTTCAGCCAAGGCCGGCAGCGTCGAGACATTTCCGGAGCTTGCGGAATATGCAAAAGACCAGATGTTCGTTGAGCAGGCCAGCGACGTTGACAACTTGGAGGCGACTGACCAGCCTTGCGTCTGCACGGTAGCGGTGGCGGCGATAGTGTGATGTTGCTAGGTACCCGGCATACGTGCTGTGCGAGCATTTTTCAGGTGCCTCTCGGTTTCATTCAGCAGTATCGGATACTCTCAACTCCATCAGGAAGCGGCCGGCCTCTGCTCCGACTTATCGAGACTTTGCGTGCGCTGCCTTGCTGATCTGATATGTTGCTGCATGGCTGCATGGAGATGCCAGAGTTGTGCAACGTGTAAGGCGAGGCGCTTCTGGGTACCAACCGGTGCTCCAGTCATGTTTCTGACTCGTTAGGTTGCCTTGACATTGTGGTGTGCTGCAGGCAACTCTAAGTTTCCACTTGTTCAACTTCGAGGACGCTGTGCTGGCAAGTTGTGTCGCCGGCTCAGCTTTCATATGGTGGGTGGCTTTCTGGGGATGCGGGAAGTTTCGTTCTCTCGCCCATTCGGAAGGCTCATGAAATCGAACAAGCTTCAGGAGCTGCAATTCCGTGGCATTCCCAGCAGACCTCTCGAGTCCACGATTTAAAAAGGGTTAGCCCTGCAGTGACGAGCGGAAGTACGACCTTGATACGGTACGTCTCAAACATATCTCGGAGTTTCACAGAACTCAGCGTCGCAAAGGCCCGCAGTGCGGCCAATTCAGTCGCCGCTGGATCGGAGACGAAAGAGCCTCGCAGGCTCGCTGGATTGAAGCGCACCGGCGCAGGAGGATCAATCTTGGGCATGCCAGAAGTCTGTGATCATAGATTAATTCCTGGCGACACGAGATTGTAGCTTTGTCGAGGGCCTAACTCTCCAGCGGTACGATTATGTGACCTGTAGCTTGTCGGGATCCTTTCGGGTCTTTGGCTTCGGCCTCGGGACTCTTTGACCGGCGATCGGTGGCACTGTGGATTCTCTCGCTTTTGGCATATAGCAGTAGTTTCCGGGCCTTTTTCTCGGTGGAGGCCGGCGAGGCTTCATGCGCCCGCACCTTGAGATGTAGCAGCTCGAATCCACCACTAGAATTCCAGATGTATCCACGATCATAGCATGCTGAGGGAGGCCGCCTCCTCAAAAGGGTGCGTACCCCGCAGCACAGGCAGGCAGCGGGGGGGGAAGCGGGGTGAGGAAAGTGCATCCAGCTTGTCCACGCAACTTGCTCCAGAATCCAGATTCTTGAAGTAGACTGGGTAGACGCTTGAGTTGGCGAGCCAGGCTGCAAAGCCCCCCTCTACAGGTCCCGCACTCAGAAGTGCACACGAAGGATGGCTGTGTAATGCTGTGTAGCAGTGTAGTGATGGCCGAGTGGCAGAGCCGCAGGAAGAGGATTCAGGCACTGTCGCGAAAAGGGTGTCACCCATCCAACCACATGCTCTTTCTTCAGGCTTTGATGCGTCGGGGATCAGTCTTGAAGTTACACATCGTGCAGAGCCCTTGGCAAGTGTCGTGGTGGGGATAGAAGCCATGTGCCGACATTTCAGGTCCGGCATCCGCCACTTGGTGGCCGGAAGGTGTCGACTGGGCCGACCGGGTTTCCGAAAAGCCGTGTTCTTCTCAGGACGTGCAAACCTTCACGCCCTGGTTTGCGGTTCACGTTGGTCACTTCAGGCCGACCAGCCTCCGCCGGTGCAAGGCTGAATCAAGCGAAGGAGACCCTGCAGGCGATGGGCACGGCTCCGCGTCAGAGCTTAGACTCAGACCTGTTGGAAAGGCTGGCAGCGACAGCTCGATGCTTGGACGCTCTGATCAGTTGTTGCTTCCTTGCCTTGATGCGCTGTCCCAAGGCACTCCATGCTTTGCGCGAGTATGGCATCGGCGTCCTCTAATTGCGACTTGAAAATCAGATAAACGTGGTTCCTTTTGTTGGTGTTGTCCTGCACTTGCAGATGAGTGGTTTTTGTAAGCGCCGCGGAGGTTGCAGAAACTGTTGTGTGATGTTGGGGTGCTGCCTGTTGCATGCGTTTGCACGTGGCAGCCTTCTGTCGTCGGACACTCTCTGCTGTCAGTTCGTGCCACCTTCCGCCTCAATTTTTTTCTATTGAACATGGGATAGGGGATGGGGTGTTCAACCGCCTAGAAACCACCGTGGCTACATGTCTAGGCATCGGCTTAGACATGTCTGTACCTCTGAACTCTAAACGCCCTGTCGGCAGCTTGTTGAAATTCGCACGCAGAGACAGCATTTTATGCAAGCCGTAGCAACCGCAAGTCCGTAAATGGGGCTGGACATATCATGCTTGTCTTTTAGAACTCTGTGTTCAGAATGTTTAAGTTTTAAATTTTTCAAGTCTCAACATATATAGCCACCAACTGTGAGCGACGCAGTTTGCGAGCCGGACAAGGTTTGGAGGCAAGGTTTCGAGAGGCGGGAAGTCAACGAAAGGTCGGAGACTAATCGCTGAGGCCGCCAACCAGCTCCAACAGAAGGATGTTGCAGGACTTGGCCTGAGTCGTGGCGTGGTGGCAAGGCCAACTGAATGACGGCTCGTGCTGCAGGCTTCGGCGACACCGTTCTGGAAGGATACCCTCTCAACCTTTTGGAAGGTGGGTAGTTGAGAGCTGAAGCTGCTGGAGTGGCACAGAAGTTGTTTTTTCCCAGTGGTGTGCTGCCACTGCAATGCATTTGTTCCCGGCCAATGTTTCATGCCCGGCCGGCAGTCCAAGATTTGCCTGTCGGACGTCGAATTCAGGAGCTTGGTCAGGCCTGTAGTACTGTAGAACAGTGTATTTTTAAAATATATGGGTACCAGACGAGTTTTGTGAGCCGTGTCAATCAGAAGTTGCGGCGTCGAAAACGAGTGAGTTGTGATCACAAACTCTGTGACACTGGGGACCGGTGCCCCGGTGCCGGGGGGCAGGTGATCGGAGCCTTTGATGCACGGATAAAAGTGCTGCATCAAGCGTCTGCTTGTACAAATAGACATGAAGGCATCAAAACACCAGGCCTGTCAGATGAACGCCCCCCACCTCCCATATCTGCAAGCAGTCTGTCGCATCACGATCGTGGCAGGGCATGCGCACGGTGCAACTGCATAACCCATATAGAGCCTGCGTGATCGTGGCCTCAGCAGCTGGTGGCATGGATGGTATTGAACTGCTGGCCCGTGCCAACAGCAACGATTCCGAGAGGACAAAGCTGCTCAAGCAGGCAGCTCGTTGCCTGAAGCTCGTTGCAAGTAATGACCTCTCGCGTGCGCTATCGCTTGAGGTGCTCCTGTCCTCGTCCAAGCTTCACAGGGAGCTTCGTGTGACCTTGGGCACACCTGCCCCCAAAGCGAGCAAGTTTGGCACCTTTGTACCGAGCGCCACGCTCAAGAGACAAAAGGACTGCACAGCAGGATGCAAGGCATGTTTCAGTCAACAGGCAGTGCACGCCCTCAGAGGAGTTACAAGCTGCAAGCCCGTTGGCAGCGTCGTTGAAAGAAAAGCTCGAGCTTTGTGCGCAAGGCAGCCCGGGGGCACTGATTCCAACCAGCCTGCCGCAGCAGCAATTCATGTGAGTCCCAAAAGCATTGCTCTATTTCGCAGGCGATTCCGACATTTGCGAGACTGTGACGCCTGGACGAGAGCTCTCGCCAGTGCTGAGGTCTTGCGGGGCGAGAATCGGCAACCTTTCAGATAGACTTTCCGCAGTGGAGGCCAGCTTTCAAAAATGGTAGCTCCTTAGGGACCCTTGTGTGCAAATGTCTGCTTCCCGTATACAACACACAGGGGCAGTTGGTTCTGCGCGGCGGTGCTTTACCTGCACGGGAGGAGTCATGCATGTGGTCAAGACGTGGTAGGACATCCTCTCCCTGCTCATAAGTCGCGAGGAGGAGGAGACCCATCTCATCGAAATCGTCCCAAGGGGACAGCAGGCGCAGAGCGCTTTCAAAGGATTTGGACGTGGCATCAGTGCGATGTGTAAGCAATTCAAAAGAAGGACTGAAACAGACAGGCCTAATGCAATCTTATGACTTACGTGCTGCCACCGCAAGAGCACAGCTTCCCGGATCGCAGTATTTATTAGCCAGCAGGCCTCAGCAGCCACGCGGCACAAAGCCGAAGCGGCTGCAGAGCGGGCCCTGCAGCAGCATGCCCGCTTCGCCGCACTGGAGGCCGCAGACACATTGAGCAGCAGTGAAGAGCAGGAGTTTGCAGGATTTGGCTCTTGCTCATCGTGCCGAGGACTTGCAAAATACTCTCCAAACACGGTTTTCATACGATGACCTGCTGCGGCCCTACCCGTTCAAGTTTCGTGACGTGAGACAGAGAACGACATTGGAAGTCCGCACAAACAAGGGGTCGTCCGCACCCTTGAATCTTCACAGAGTCCGCGGTGCTGAGGCGGCAGGCATTCCCGCGCAGGTCGCGCTGGAATCCAAATCTCTACCTTCTGACAGACGAGACCTTGAAGAATCCGGCTGAGTTCAAGGAGGGAGACCACATTAGACTTGCATTGTGTGTTCCCGTTGCTGGTGGCTGTGCAGTGGCTCTCCGCTGTCCCTCTAGTAACAGCAGCAGCAGCAGCAGCAGCACTAGTCGTAGTAGTCGTAGTCGTCGTAGTCGTAGTCTTAGTAGTAGTAGTAGTAGTAGTAGTAGTAGTAGTAGTAGTAGTAGTAGTAGTAGTAGTAGTAGTAGTAGTAGTAGTAGTAGCATAGTAGCAGCAGCAGTAGCAGCAGTGTAGTAGTGGTAGTGGTGGTAGTAGTAGTAGTAGTAGTAGCAGTAGTAGTAGTAGTAGTAGTAGTAGTAGTAGTAGTAGAAGTAGTAGTAGTAGTATTAGTAGTAGTAGTAGTAGTAGTAGTAGTAGTAGTAGTAGTAGTAGTAGTAGTAGTAGTAGTAGTGGTGCCCTCTTTTCGCGGAGTTCCTGCGTTCGACGTCGGAGCACAGACATATGTCCGTCGGCTCATGGCCACTTCGCACTATTGGCGAATCCCGCACAACTAAGTCACACAGGAAAATGTTTGCTAGTCCATCGCATCAAAATCGAAAGAGCTGGCACCAAAGGTAATCGACACTCGACGTCACTTCCGACTGTAGTCTGCATTGTCGCCTCCTGCAGCTTCCCTTATGAGAGAGGCCAGAGGTTTCTCGACACTCAGAGCAACAATGAGTGTCAGTGCGAGCAGCCAGCCGAGTGCAACCCTCGGTAATGCAGGTGGTCAGGTGGTGATCTCTAGCCACAATAGCCGTTTTCGACGTCTCTCACAACGCTTGCTATGGCCACCAAGACCACACTCGGAACAGCAGTGCAGCCTATTCCCTCCCACAGCTCATGTGCCAACATCCGGATGTTGCGCAGATGGCGATGACCTGGGTGAGTAGCAGTAGCAGTAGCAGTCGCAGCAGCAGCAGCAGTCGCAGTCGCAGCAGCAGGAGCAGGAGCAGGAGCTGTGGCATAAGGGGTAGGAGTAGTAGTAGAAGCTGCTGTTGTTGTTGCCACGGGTCACAGAAGGCAGCCAGGCATAGCCAGGCCCCGGCTGCAAAGTCTCGAGACCTGGAACGGGTTGCCCGACCGGCTGAGCAAGTGCCTAAGCCTGCAGTGCACTGGAGCCAGCGCCTCGCGCCTCGTCGGGATACGGAGGCTAGGAGCCCCCCGCCAGTGGACTATCAGGGGCGAGACGGATAACAAGTCCATTGATGGAGTCCCCCAAGTCTAAATCCTTGGTAACCTGCGTGGCTGTTCATGGGGAAGGCTAGCCGAACGCTACCGACTTGATCCCGGCTAACTGCGATTTCGTTTCCATCCTAATAAACTCGTTCCGGTCAGTGCCAGCTTTGTTGTTTGCTCTGTGCGTGGTGTCGTTCAGCCAGCTCGTTTGCTCTTGTTACTGTTATCGTACCTTGTGTTCCTTCCGGGCATGGTGGTGGGTTGGATACGCTTGGTTCTTGTTGGTTGCTGTTGTTTGTTTTTGTTTTTTGTTGTTTGTTGCTTGTTGTTTGTTGTGGTTGTTGCTGTCGCTGCTGCTGCTGCTGCTGCTGCTGCTGGTGGCGTTGTACTGTAGTTGTTGCTGCTGTTGTTGTTGTTGTTGTCGTCGTCATCGTTGTCGATGTAGTAGTAGCAGCAGTGCATGCAGCAGCGGCAGAAGCATTGTCACAGCACGAAGTGCCAATGACTGTGAGCGTCCGCAACTTGTTTTCCAGCAGGAAGCTGTTTGGCGCAAGCTGCCGAAGGTTGGGCCGGTTCAGTGCACTTGGAGCTCCTTCGTAATTGACGACACGCTCAGCAACTCGAAGCCGCGTCATGCTGCTTCGTGATTAGGCGGTTTTTACAGCGTTGCAGGAGTCCGAGTCAGATGCTGACGGCGCTCGTGGTGCTGTGCGCTGGCGAAGGACAGCACTTGTGATTCCACATTTCAGCGAAGGTTTATTGCCCCTGAACGGTGTGTTCGCGCAAAATTTGCTCATTGGCTGGAAACCGACCTCTTGTTTCATCAACGTTTGGTCTGTCACGTTGCCTTATATCCAAGTAGACTATGCCGAGATGCCCCGAAGCTCAAAGATACCTGAGAACAAGGTGAGATGTGGCCTTCCCCCGCTGAAGCCTGCTAACCCCACTGCTGCGCACGTTCGTCAGTGAATGATTCGAAACGCATCTGCCGTTTCGAAACATAGGTGGTTTGAGATGTCGATGATGTTCTCAATCTCTTCTACATATACATACACAAACACACAGAAATAAACAATTAGATAAATAAATGAATGAATGAATGAATGAATATAAGAACAAAAATTTATGTGCACATATACATATATGCATATATGTCTATATGTCTATATGTCTTTATGTATATATGTATATATGTATATATATGTATTGTGAAACCAGATGCTGTGAGCGAAGGGTCTTGATCGATGTGTGAGCTGCCTGTCTTGTACGTGCCGACTTTTAGGCCTTGACCCGATTATGGCAATCGGCAGGAAAACCGCGTAGCCTGCTGTCCGCCCTGCGAGTGCGGTTCATAGTGGCACCGGAGCCTGAGTAGCTCTGCGATCCTTGCTTCCCTGCGCCTTCGCTTTGCTTTTCTTCGTGACCTTTTACCTCCCAAAGGCAGCTGGTTCACTACTTCATTGTGACCTCCCTGGGTGTCCTTCTGCTGGGCGACCTGGAGCTGCCTCAGCTGAGGCCCTGTTGGCTAGCAAGCTGCTGGCTGTGATCGCTGTGTGTCTGCGGCACCCTTTGGCGATCGAGGGGCACAGCTCTTTTGGTCCTGACTAGGGGACCCTTCTTCTTGGAACTTCTGGGCCGGCTGGCTTCTGCGAACCACGGCCCTGGCAACTTCTTTCTGTCCGGGATCCTCCGGCTTTTTTCTCTGCTTTGGCTCCTCGGGGCCCACCTTTGGCTGTACTTAGGCAGCCACAGCTTTGACCTGGAGGACGCGGCGAAAGACCTCGTCTTCTACTACCTCTTTCTTCTTGGGTTTTTGGAGGCCCTGTTTTGGCGGCAGCCTTGGCCGGAGCATTTTGCCACGATGGCCGAGGACGACAAGACGACGTCGGCTTGGTACAAGGTGGCGACTTGGGACGGCAGCCCGGTGACTTGGCGGGCCTTTAGCCGTGAGATGCAGTGGTGGCTTTCTTCGCTAGATCTGGAAAGCACTAAGTACAATCTGGCAGCGAGATGGCTCTTGAGGCAGAGCGGTGTGGTTCGCCAGAGGGGCGAAGAGTTTGCGCCCGAAGACCTTCGATATCAGCCGGAAGTTAAGGCGAAAGACCGGTGAAGGAGGACCTGCTGGCGGGCCTGAACAAGCTGCTGAAGGCCCTTGAGGAGATGAATGGCACGAGTGCTTTGGACAAGAAAGGTGAGCTGCGGAAGCTCTTCTACACCGACCTTATGAGAAAGCCAGGGGAACGGCCAGCGGACTTTATGTCGAGGTTTCGCTTCCTGGCTGCTGAGCTTAAGAGCGAGGGGATCGCTCTTCCCAGCTCTGAACTGGGATGGTTTCTTCGTGAGAAGCTCGGCCTCGACCCTTTGCGGAAACAGTTGCTGGAGACGGCCTTGCAGGGCCGGGAGAAGTTCGAGGAGGTCGAGGCTGAGGCTTTGCGTTTGTTCAAGGACCTCCATGCGGCGGACCCTTTGTTTCGCCGGGCCGGCTTTGAACCACGAGGCGGCCGGGGGCGAGGAATGGGTTATGCTTCTTCTTCTTCGTCTGGTGGCGGCGGCCCTCCGAGCGGTGGCTTCTCGGCCCCTTCTTCTACGCCTAAGGGCTCGACTTCGGGATCCTTCGCTGGGGCTGGCCGGGGCACGGGCTTTCAGCAAAGACGATTCCCCTTTTCGCGGCCCCGCCAGGCCATGGCAGCCGAGACGGAGGACGAGATGGCGGAGTACGAAGAGGGCGGCGAGGATGACGAGCTCATAGCGGACACGGGCGACCGCGAGGCCGGGCTGGACGAGCTGCTGGAGACGGAAGCGGAGGCCCTTGCGGCTGAACTTGAACAGGCCGAGCAAGAAGGCTGTGACGAACAAGTGCTTGGCAACTTGGAGGATAGCTACGGCAGTGCTGCGGAAGCTTTGGTCTCCATGCGTGAGGCCCGTGCGCAACTGCAGGCCGTGAGGAAGGACCGTGGCTTTGGCAAGGCCGGTGGGCCAAGCAACCGATCGGGGCCGAGCTCTCCTTCTTCGACCGGCCCCATCAAGAAGCGCGGCATGTGCTGGGCACTGGGCTGGAGATTCGTGCTGCCCCAAGCCGGGAGGCGGGCGGCAAAGGAGCTCCAGTCGGGGTCTCCGGTCCACTTGACTGAGACCTTTGCGGAGGCTGAGCACGAGGTTCCTGAGGGGCACATGGTTCATGAGGCGGCCGTGGTGACCACTTTGGAAATTTCCGGGCCAGCCGGGGCTGGCCGGTGGGAGCTTGGCGGTGGACAAAAAGCTAGTGGGCGCTCTTGATTCAGCATGCAACCGAACGGTCTGTGGGCGCGAGTGGTTTGAGAACTATATCGTCGCTTTGCGTGGTTTGCCCTGCTGGCAGGCCCTGGCTCCGCTTCTCGAGTCGGAGGCTGAGCGTGAGACCTTTAAGTTCGGGAATGACGGCACGAAGCCGAGCTTTGAGCGCCGCGCTTGCCGATGCTAGTGGGTGACACTTTGATCCTTGTGTGGACCAGCGTGGTTGAGGTCCCAAGCCTCGGCCTCTTGTTGGGCCGGGACTTCCTCGAGGGCATCGGAGGCGTGATCAGCTTTACCCGTAGGGCCCTGCGTGCAGATTACCTGGATGGCAAGCGCATTCCACTGAAGCAGTTGACGGCAGGGCACCTTTACCTGGAGATCCTGCCGGCGATCCCGCTCAACCTGCCCAACGGAGGGCAGCTGCACTTAAGCCTGTTGCTTCGGGAGAGCGAGTGCATGAGCAACTTTCACTTGAAGCGTCGGCCGGCATTCGCAATGTTGGGGGTTCGAGCATGAGGCCCAAGCCCCGGGAAAGCAAGGCCCTGACGGTAAAGGCGGCGCGGCCAAGGTGATCCAGCGCTACCGCCGGCTATGCCTCCGCGTGCTCGGCCGAAACATGTGGCACTTGGGTGTTCTGCTTTGGTTGCTGCAGCGGCCCTCTCTTCGGTATGTTCCCCTGCCTTACGGGAGCGTCCGGTCCCCTGTGCAGTGGAAGGAGCAGGCCGAGGCTATGGTGAAGAACGGTGCGTGGCCCCGTCGGCACTTCAGGCGAGCCGTTATGGAGAACCTCTTCGAGAACCTGG